CTGTTTTCAGAGATTATACTCTCAGCCACTACACTGGGAGCTCCCGAGTCTAACTGCCCATTAATATGAACAGAGGAACTTTCGGAAAAGATTCCTATGGACAACTCTAGAGATTCTGACTTCACTGCTGGGAGATGGGATCTGGGCACTGGCATTTCCTCGAGGTGCTCTGAAGAATTCTGATGTGCAGCCAGCTCTGAGAAACACCAGCGAGGGGGGCAGGGCAGGTGACACCATGCTGCTCCCACGGCAGTAAGTGACCTCCACGCCCTGCAAGCTGATGATGGCTTCTCTCAGAACAGGCGAAGGGGAGGACAGAGCTGGGCCTCCTGGGATAGAGCTGCCATCAAGCTCTGCTCTGACAGTCAGCCTCCCAGCAGTGTGTCTCACCAGCTCTCTCCAGCGGACCTTGAACAAGTATAACTCTCCCTACAAGGTAGATTTCATCGTCTCCACTCTAAAAGTGAGAAAAATAACAGGACCATGTGGTAAAGAGAGTGGCACAAATCCGACAGCTAATAATTAGAGCTCTGGCTGGAGCCAGGCCTCTGGTCTCCAAGGCCAGTGTTCTTATTTCTGAAATGCAGCATGGTTGATTAGAAAGTGCGTGGCTGGAGAACTCTGATGGCCTTGTCAAAGGCACTGGAGGTTACAATTGATGACAGGAAGTGACCTGTGGGAGGAATCCACCACGTCACCTCCCAGCAGTGAGGTGCTGAGCACAGTGGGACTGGAGCAGGTGAGATAAAGACAAGAAAGAGTAACATCCAGTCTTGGCCCTTGAGAAGTTAGTGATTTTGAGAGACAAGGGAGAGATAGATATGCCATGCAGCTCAATTTCAGTGGGGTTTACCAAGTGGAAATCATATGCTAAGGCAAAAGTAACAACAAAGACCAAAACAAACAAACAAGCAAAAATGCCACATAAAGTACGTTTTGAGTTCTTCGGTTGGTCCATGGAATACCTGGCAAACCCCTGGAAATGACTGGCTGCTTCCAAGGCTCAGATTAAAAACGCTGGGCACAGTGGTTCCAAATGAATCCAAAGTCTGTTGTTGCTTAGGAGTCCACAGGTCTGGGGTGTTCGGTGGTTCATACACCCACCAGAGGCTTCACAAGACTTTCCTTTCAGGCCTGGTCTAGGCAGGAGACAGGCTGAGAAGGCGCTTCTCTCTAAGGATGTTGCCCAAGCAGCTTGGGCATCTGTCCTTTGAGAAAACAAGGTAGAGGAATGGGGAAGGAAGAAACCCTGGTTTGTGTTAGACTTTGCTTCTGGTAGAGCTTGAAAACTACACTCACAGCTCTATAAACTATAAAGATACATGTCAATTTTGAGTAAAAAAAATAGGTGAGAAAATAAAGGACCAGCTGGCTTAGCATGGCCTTGGGGGTCACACCACCTCCGCACCGTATTGGCTGCTGAGAGCCTCCCCATATCTGCCCTTAGAAACACAGTTCTTCCCAACAGTGAAATCCTAGGAGGAGGCCAATAAGCTGGACATATCCAGCAGCTGTGCCAGGGGCCTCTTGGATTTGAGACCCAACCCACTGGGAGCTGAGGACAGCATTCCAGCTTGGACTGCTGAATGGGGTTCCTGTGGAGCAGGAGGGGGTTTTGGAGCTGTGGGGTGCTCTTCTTTGAAGATGCTGTTTCTTAAATAGACACAATAAAGGAGGGATCTGGAGAGGGAAAGCGCATGGCAGATGGGATATCATTATGAGCAGACATAGAATCCACTGGCAGAGACAGAGCCCGGGGTAATGGGACCACGCTTTCTTCCTTCCCCTGTTTGCGGGAGATCTGACACACACTGGAAGTCCGACTGGGCCCTGGCACTTTGAAATCTCTTTCCTCTGGCAGGATAATGAGTGGATGAAAGGCTCTTTTAGCTGGGGCTCTGAGCAGCTAGTTCCAGATGAATAGACCTTAGTGGCCCAGGTGAGTCCTTGAGGCCGGCTCAGGAGGGGTGGGGGAACGGAGCTGGCCTTTGGACATAGCTGTCCCCAGCGCTGGCCCTGGAAGCAATTAGTGAGTGGAAGGGAAGGGAGGCAGGACAGAGGCCAGCACACCCAGACAGAATGATTCACTGAGCTTCTGCTCACTGTGTCTTTAGCATTTGAATGGACAGAGGACAGTGGAGTGGAGCTTAGAGAACCAGTGAACTGGGCAAACTCTCCCTCCTGGCCAGATGGGAACACTTCATCCTCCTGCTTGTGTGGATCAAGGTCCAAAATCCCCACTCCTGTTTTGGGGGCCGCAAAGCCATCTCTCAGATCCCTGGGGCTTTGGGTCTCTTTAAGATCTAGTCCTCTGCCTCCAGCCAAAGGCCTTTACTTGGTATTGGGGAGGCTCCCTCCCTCTTTCTTCTCCCTTAAAGGATACAGCGAAGGCCTTGGTGCTGGGTTTCCCACTCACTATCTCCTGGATCTGTCCCCACTCAATTGCCAGAAAGCCACAGCTGGTGGCCCTCAGATGTGCTGTGCAAAGGTCACATGGTTGAAGGTTGAACTCTGTGTCATTGTATTGCAATCAGATTACACATTTCAAAAAGAATCCTAATTCAGAAGTGTGGCTACATCCCAGCCCTGCATTCCTGCCCAGCCCTAGTCAATTCCCATTGAGGGAAGGCGCATCAAGGAGGTGTGTCCCCCAGTCGGGTGGGACAGGAGCATCTCATTCCCTCAGGACAATTTCTGGCCTCCTCCCCAACATCTGGCACCTCCAGCCCCCAAATCTGCCCTCAGCTGCTCTTGGCCTTCCTACACTGCCACACACTTCTGGCATTCATACATCACCTGAAGCATCTGGGTTGGGACCTCAGATGAGGACTGGTAGTGGGATCACCTCATCTTTCTCATTTCATGTTTGTGTGTGGAGAAAGTTTCACGTGAGTCACATTCGTGGCTGCTTTTCTTTCCCTAACTTGGGTGAACTTTGGAGAAGGACCCAGGCACACTCAGCTTGGCCCCTCCATTTGCAGACATGCCTCCCTGCAGGAGCACCTGGATCTGCTCTCTTCCTGCCTGACGGTGAGAGCGGTCTGCTCAAGACCATCGAAGCTGTCCACTGCCGCCATCCTCAGAGCATGGGTGAAACGTTGCACCCCAGCTTTGCTACCATCTCTCTAGCTGTCACCTGCCAGTCACTATCAGTCACTTGCCAGGAACCCTGACACTGGTTCAGAAGAGATGGTGGCTGGCATTCAGATGGTGAAGACCCATGTGGGCATCATATATGTGCTAACGTGCTGGTTCAGGGACCAGAAAGCTTCTCATCAAAGGAGCTGCTTGAGTCTGTGCACCACCTGGGATTCTCCAGCACTCTCAGGATCCACAAGCTGTCACCTCCCAGGTGGGTCTCACTGCCCCAGGGTACTCATGTGATGCAGACTTCAGCCCTGTGTAAAGCTCTCTCTGGAGTGAAGAAGACCTCGAGGGGCCATTCTCCTATTTCCACCCATAGCCTGTGTCCAGACAGCTTCTGTCCCCCTGACAATGCTGCTGTTGCTCAGAAGGCTCCTCAGCTCCATAGTTGAGGCTGGGGTCCTCTGAGAAAGCCGCATTTGTGACGATGTGCACGTGGTATCCGGGCACTGCTGGATTTCCATGTTCTATGTACAAGCTGCAGGATGGCTCCCTCTTTCTCATTTGTGTTGCCCAGAAAGTGAGCAGCTCTGTGTGTGTCCTCATGTCCTGTCTCTGGCTGTGTCCTTTCTCTCCATGGTCCTCTGTCGTTCTGACTGAGGGTCCCACTATGTCTGACAGGGTCCTTTTCCTTCCCATCCAGGACTCCCTCAACCAAATCTCATGAGCTTGTATTCATGCAAACTGATGGGTACAAGCTAACATTTATTGATCCAGACACTGTTCTAACCACATTTCCTGAACTAAGTGAGCGGGTCCCCGGCAATGCCATTTGAATCTGCGATCTATGGTCAAGGGAGCTGGCTTAGAGGACTTCAGAGGTCTGCTCCCAGACATGTGCCTGCTGAGTTACAGAGCTGCCCCTCGGGGAGAGGCCCAGCCTACTTTCCTCGCCCGTCTGGGACTGAATCTGAATTGGTGATATATGTCTTGAAGGAGAGAAAATTTATTTTTTATTTTTCATTTTGAAGAGAATAAAACCCAACAAAACAAAACAGAATAAAGCCAATCAAAACAAGGCAGTGAAAGTGGTACAGAACTTCAAAGCAGGATGATAGGAAATCAACAGTGGCTACCATAGTATATCTTGTTATCTTCCAATAGCAGTCCATTCTATCAGACATAGTAAAATCAAATAACATAAAACAGAACAAAGCTAATCAAAACAGAACACCGAATAAAACAGAACAGTCAGAACAACACAGTGAGATCCATATTGGATTTCAAAAACCAGACAGAAGGGAGCCCCCATATTTGCTATATTGCATACTGTTATCCTCCTAATAGATGCTCAGACCACCAGCATGGTTTGCACAGCCCAGCAGAACTGGCTTGTTGATGTGCTCTTCCCAGACCAGCATGGCTTCTGCTGACTCATGGGAGGGTGAGCTGGCTTTTCTCTTCCTGGGCCTCACATGATTTACCAAGGCAAGGAAATTTTAAGAGAAGGAAATTTTAAGAGGGCAGAGAACAAAAAGGAAGGAAAATGAAGAAGACACCACGATGCCCTGTTCTAGCTGAAGTCATGTGTTGGAGTCCTAACTCAGAAGGTATCTGCATTTGAAAACCAAGAGGTCACTAGGGAAAAACGAGCACATGGGTGGGCCTGAATCCAGAATAACTGGAGTCCTCATGAGCAGAGATGTGGAATCAGGATGATAGCATGCTAGCAACAAGAAGGAGAGAGGCCCAGAAGAAACCAACCTGCAGACCCTTGGACCCTGACTGGCAAAAGAGCTGACTTCTGCAGTGGAGGCTTGGGGAAGGATCCATGGCGGCCCTGGTGGGCTGCACCCGCCTCCAGCTCCCAGCACTGGCCTGGAAATGTACCCTGGCAAACCCATTATGTAGATTCTGAAAGGCTCTCAGGGAATCCTTTGTTTTCTTTTTTCACAAGCAAGCTGGTGCTCAAAGAGAGGAGAAATAGCCTAAGATAAATGTTTTTTGAGAGGATAAAGGCCAACCAAAAGAACTTCTCAATCTGAAATGGCCCAAATCTTCCTTTTGTTTTCTAAGTGAAAAATAGGCTCAGAGGAACAAAATGACTTGCCCCAGAACTGAAATATGTGTACACCAGAGGATAAGGAAAAAGGAATGAAAACATGAGAGGAACCAGTTTACGAGTACTTCTGTAATGGTGATTGCTGTTTTGTGTCATCAGCTGGAAAAATTACTTAGTATTAAGTAAGGGCAGTGTATCGAATGTACTCGGTGCACTGCTGTTGAGTAATAGTGAAAATGGAAGGTTTGCTTATTGATCCCTGTGTCGGGTAAATTAAAGATACTTTCCAGTCAAAATCTACTGCAACTGGGGCCAGAGTCTCTTTTATTTCTCTAATGACAAAGGGCTCCTGTTGAGCATCTCACATGCTCAGTGCTGTGCTGGAGGAGCTGCTGTCCCCAGAAAAAGCTCTTAATTCATGGCCACATGAGAGGAAGGAGAGGAAGATGTGCAGAGTGTCAGGTCGCCAGCTCCGTATGTGTTAGGCATCAGGATGGATCAATGACGGGAAAGTGCTGCGCATTGCAAACATTGGCACATGTTTAAACATGAATCGCTGCGGAAGGCTGAGGTTAATGTGATGCCTTTCACTTTTCTAGTAGGAAATGGAGCCCACCGGTGCCTCCATCTGCAGGCGTGGCGATGCCCGTGTGGCTTTCCTGCGGTCAGAAGCATTAGTCAGGGTCCCGTCCGTATCTGTTAGGAGAGAGGAAGCCCATTTAGCAAATTAAAATTGTTTTTATTTCCCTAGCTAATTGTTTTCTAATTGTTTAAGTAAAAGGTTTTGGTCTTGATTAGAAGCTTTTAGTAAATGAAATCTGTTCACATTTTACAAGTTAAATATTTAGATCAGAGAGACGCAGTCATGGTTAGTGAGATTTGCTAGGGCGAGGGATTTGAAAGGTAAATGCAGATGTGGGGCAGGCCTGAGAGATGAGCTGGCTCCATCCTTTGATCTGTCTACTGAGGAGCAGGAGATCTGGGCAGGTCATGGGGCCAGAGAAGGGAAGAGCCAGGCCGGAGTTGCCCGTATCTGTCATTGTGGATAAGCAGACATTCGCACGCTGTCGGCCTGTGGTCAACACAGATGCTGTTAATCAAATTTTCAACCCCTGAGTGCCTCTAGACCAGTCTGGCACTCAGGAATAGTGAGTAAAGTGCTGTATGACTTCACGTAAGTTGGGCATTTCACACTTTTGTGTAAATTGGTCAGTTATTGATATTTAACTGAGTGGTCGTTGGGGGAAAATTGAAATGCACCACTGAGAACTTGGATGAAGTGACCTAAAGGCACACACGAGTGTGCACACACACCTTCAAAGCAAATTAACACATTCTACTGTATTTTAAAAGAACAAATGGGAAAGGAAAAATAAGAACAGGGACTTGATGCAGCGAGGAGTGCTCTTTGGAGCCCCTTGTGGTTTCGTGAATGGAATAGATCTTACAAGGGGGAGGAGGATTATGATTTCACGTCAAGTGAAGTTCAAGAGCACCAGCTTGATCAAGGGTGCATTGGACACTTCTCTATTTTCCTGTTACTCGCTTGCTCTGTGTCTCTTCCCCTCCTTCTTCTCTCTCCTTTCTGCTTTCTTTGACATTTGAGATTTCAGCATTGCGAACGACCTGGTAAAGTGAAAAAGCATGAACAGATCATTTCATTTCTGCCTTCCTGCCTTTTTTTTTTTTTTTTTAATTATGGAAATTCCAACTGCTAGAGAAGTTGCAGAGTAATGGAAATTTCCTGATGATCTGGCAAGAATGCAGATTGGTTCTATCCATTGAGGGGAACAATTTGGCAATGTCTGGGGAAGTTAGAGTTGGCTGGACAAACTTTTTCTTGGAATTAATGTTGCAAGTAATGTACTTTAAAAGCCACGGGTAGGCCATTGGCTTGGCTTCCCCTGCTTTAACTCAGCCCAGGTGAGAGATGGAGCCAAGCATGGCAAACCCGCTTTTGAGGGACCTTGCCCTTGGTGGGCCCCCGCTACCCCGTTCCCAGGGGTTCTGGCTTCTTATCATCTGCACTCCTCTGCCTGGAAAGCCGAGAAACACCATGATTCAGGCCACACTATGTGTTTTTAGTATAAAGTAACTATTTTTCCTTGAGCAGTAGGGAGCATTGAGATACTCACAAATCATAATGTTCTTTCATTTACCACACGTTCAACCATCCTCACTGTGTGTCAGTCACTGCACTTGCCAGTAGCCATGCTGAGTAAAGAAGATTTAGCCTCTGTGATCAAGGAGCACGCCACTGTCTAATGGTGGCCAATGAACCCAGAATGGTGAAATTAGTACGTGAGGCTCACTACGTGCAAAGCTTTATCTGTAGAAACTCTCATCTCTCACCCAGTCCTATGAGGCGAGTACTCTTCTCGGTTCCAGTTCACAGTCCATGCGAGTTTTAATACTTCCCCGAGTTTACACAGCTCATGAGTGGACCGGCAGGACTTGAAGCCAGACTGCACATTACACTTCTGCGCCCCTGGCCTAAGCCAGGCACCTGGGGAAGGGGCTGGGTTCTGAGCTGGACAAAGGCTTTGGGAACACAGCAGAAGAGCCGGCCTGTTTGTGTGGGTGACCTGGGGAAGGTTCCCATGGGGCAGTGCAATTAGATGGGGCAGCTTGAAGAATGAGTAGGTGTTGGCAGAGGGGCAGGGAGGAGTAAGAGAGAGGATTTGTGGACCTCAGATGGCTCTGGGACTGGGCTCAGGCAGGAGAGTCCCTGGTTTCCACCCAGGCGCTGGGGAAAGCTCGTGTGAGTCACACCGGACACTTCTGGCCTGGCCTCCTGGGCCTCCTTGAAGCTCCCGCTAAGCACTCCTTTTCCTCTGATCCGGCATCTTCTCATCCCCACCCTTATTTCTTAGATTGTAAAAACCCTGAGGCCTGGTTTCTTCTTCCTTTTCCTCTAATTTGTGTGGCCAAGCGCTCTTCACCGTCAGCCTCAGCAGGTTCCCATGGTTCTATTGAAACCAGAGGGCCATGCAAGACACCTCACTGCCTGGTCACCGTCAGGGAGGACATAACCCTGCATTTTCAGATTCTGCTGGAGCAAACACCACTGCGAATCCCATGAACACAAGGGACCCTGCACTCTCCAGCCTGGGACACATCTGCAAGGGGACTCTCCCCTTTCTTATGCAGCCACCGTTGTTATTATGAACAGCCAGGCAGGAATAAGCTGCCCTGCCTTGAAATATGGGATGACAGAGAATGCAGCCCTGGGATTTATTGCTCCACACGGCACGCAGATATAATTTTTACTTGGCTGCCGTGATGACAAGATTCAGCAAGGCATTAGGCAAGTAAGTTGGAATTACTTGGCTAAAATATGGAATGTCTCTGGGCGCCCGGTCCCTCTGTGAGGGACCCGATTAGTCTGGGCCCTGCTGGGGGCCGGAAGACGCCTGGAGTCTCATTTCCAGCTGGCTGACTTGGAAAGGTGGGGACCCGTGTGGCCGAGTCTCTCTGTGGGGAGTTCTGGAGGAAGGTTGTGAAAAATGAAAACGGGTCGCAGAGCTGCCACTCACTGTCACTCAGATTTCAGATAAGAACCTGGGCTTTTTTCTTATTGTCTCCCTCACTTAACCTCTGCCCGGTTTCCTTCTCATCCCTCTGGGAAGGGGGAAAGAGAATGAAAGGCAGAGGAAGTAGCTTTCTTTTCAAGCCTGTGGTCATTTTGGTTCACGTCTGTAAGTAAAGGTTAAGCAGAGAGGGAGCCTGGGTTAGGACAATGAATGCCCTGGAGCATCCCAGGAACTCTCCCGGCTGCCCAGAAGGAGCGGCCCCAAGGATCAAATCCTTTAGCTATTTGGTCTCCTGCATCCCATTTGACTGCCGCTCACTGACATTTGAAATGTGTCTGTTTGAAAAGAAAAGAGAAAAGAACACAAATAGAAGGGAGGAAGATACCCAGAGATCTCGCATCCTGGTCAGTGAGGACAAGGCACATCCGGCTTTGCGGAGACTGAGGGGATGGTGTGTGGGTATTTGCTTTTCCTTTTGGTCTTGGACTTTTCCTGTTTCCACCCATGCACTGCGGCATTTTCTAAGGTGTGATAGGGATGCCTCGCACTGGCCAAGTGCTCCAGGATGCAGGGGGCCCGGGAAGAGAACGGGCCGAGAGGCCGTCGCCCAGCCACAGGGCGGTGCTTTGAAGGATGTGCTCAGGCTCTGGGCCCTGACTGCCCTGGAGGAAGTCGGTTGTCCCGAGACAAGGACAGCAGACATCCAGCTCCGGAAGGAAGGATGTCCTTGACTTGGCGTGCAGGGCTTAGATCGAGGGAATGTCTCCAGCAGGCTCCATGCACAGTCAAGAAGCAGGTGGTCAAGGAGCAGGCGAGGCTCCCAGTGTCACTGTGTGGGGACTTCCAGGAAGAAGCTGTCTGGGAGCCAGTGACAGGGTTGCAGTCACCGTTTCCGGTTCCTGGAGGTCTTCCAGGCAGTGCCTCTGAGTCCTGTTAGAGCGTAGGTCACCATCCTGAGGGTCAGAAGTGGGGCTGCATGCTGCATCTTGGTTAGTTTCGGGGTGACACTGCTGCTGGCAGTCACGAGAGCCACACCTTAGATGGCAAACGTGATTAGTGCAAACACAGAGGTGCAGAAGGCAAAGTAGGGCTTTGACATCAAGGCAGTGAGGTCGGCAGGGTTGAAAAACAAAAACAAGAACAAAAACCTTCCAGGCACTGAAGGCAGCTGTAGGTGCCCCTTGGTTTTCTGTGGTTTCCCATGTCCCATTTCTCAGGCGTTCCGCAGCGTTAGCGGAGCACTCACCTCCAGAAGGAGTGTGCGTGTCCTGTTGATTCTCAAAGTACTGGCAGCTATGACAGAGCCACCTCCAAGCCTGTTAGAGACACAGGTTGTGAGGCTCCCTATTTCTGCGGTCAGGAGAGGTTGGGGTGAGTTTCTACAGATAAAGCTTTGCACGTAGTGAGCCTCAAGGACTGATTTCACCATTCTGGGTTCATTGCCGGGGACGTCCAGAGCTGGCCTGTGTCAGGCTCTCCAGCAGGTGCCTGGGCAGAGAGGAATCGCTGAAGCATTTGGCCCTCAATCCTGTTGTTCTTTCCTGAATTTCAAGGCACAGAAAGCACAAAAGAAAACAGAACTTTAAAAAAAAATATTAAAAAATACAAGTAACACATTTAGGGAGAAATTGAGAAAAGACAGAGAAACAGAAATAAGATGGAATTCACCTATAATTTACTCTCAGCATTTTGGTGCCTGTTCTTTGAGACATTTCTCTTGTACATTTTAGAAACAGAAGTGGAAACACAACTGTAATTAGATGTTAACTTGCTTTTGCGCCTACAGTGCTTTGAAAAATTCTCTAAACCATTTCAATGTATATTTTGATGATATCCTTTTGCATTTTGCTTTTTAATATCTACTGCTCACTGACATACCTTTTTAAAATTTATTTTTGCTTATTCAAATAAAATGAAGTAAATCCCCCCCCCCCTTTTAAAAAAAAGTTTGCTTCTGTAAATCAAGGTTTTAGTTTTGGAATTTATTTTCCCAGGTTCTGCTGTGGTCTCACCCAATGATCTGAAAAATCACCTTGAGAACAACTTATCTCCCTTTCAAACTTTTGTGTCTATATCTTGAGAATGATGCTTGCCCTTAACTCCTTAACAGAAATTTCCAGAGTTATAGTAGGGTTATATCTATAAATCTCTCTGGGTTATTGAGCAATGGAGAAAAAATATCAAGACACCATTATTATTCCAAAAATACTTATCACAGAATTCCAAGCTGTTGTCGCAAAGGCTATTTGAAGAAATCAGTCCCTTTAAAGGGTGAGACAGAGTGTCCTAGACACTGTCACTGTGTTTGTGCAGAGATACAGCTCTTGTTTTTCACGTGAGGCATTGGTAGGACACTGGCTGCAAGAGAGCAAGAGAGGGGCCACTTACAAGTCATGTCCTTCAGTTGAAGCCCGTGTCCAGTTTCTGCCCCGTGAGTCAGGTGAAACTGTTTGTGAGGATCAAGCAGGAAAGTGGGCCAGTCGAAGATAGGCAGATGTTATAACTTGTAATTTTCCACAGATCACTCCACGCCATGTTCCTGTTCTGTATGCGTCGCCCACCCCCACTTCCTTTTTCTGTTCCTTCCTAGCTGGGCTCATATAGATAAGTTAACCACCAGCCTTGTACCTTTTTATCATAGAAACATTCTGCACCTAGCCCTCAGCCCAGTGCAGTCCAACACCCCATTTTATGAGATCTCTGTGCTCCAGATATCCCTTGTAAAACTCCCTGGACTCCTGTCTTGCGAACCTCCACCTGTTTTGTGGTTTTTGCCAATATCTCGGCACGCAGAGGTTGTCAGTCTCCATTGCTCCCTGCATCGCTGGCTATCAGCTAAATAAAGCGCTTCTTTTTCTTCAAAAACATCTTGCCTCATTCTGAGCAACATTTGGGGGATCTCATTTCTGGAGTAGAACAGCAGATAGCTTTTATACACATGTACTGGCTGATACATACTATACTGCAGGAGACGACCTGGGCGGCTCCCTTTGAATGCAGAGCGCTTGTTTCAGCATTAAACTGAACCCTGTCTCCATGTACTGATGTGTGCAGAGCTGGCTTTGCTATTTCCTTCTCCCTTCATTGGCTCTACGCAATGCAAATAGGTACTGAGGTACTGACATATAATCCTAGCTGAGGTACTGACATATAATCCTTGCAGCCAGCTGACAGTTTCCTGTTTCTTGGCAACACGTTCCCTATAAACGGTTGAGCACAGTGGGACGGCAGAGCCACATAGCTCCAGGAATGTGAACTGGACTCAAGCCTCAAAATAAGAGACTGTGACTTCCCAGGACACAGAAGTTTACATATCAGAAACTGAAGCAACAACCTCTTAAATCATACATATGCCAGCTCAGTTGAGTTTGCAGATTGGTCTTTCTGCATACCATTTCCCCTGAATATTGCAGAGCTTTCTACCTGGCCAGCTCAGCTCATGTTGCTCACCTAATTTCCACCAATCTAATCATCACTCATCCTTGAGCCATTCCCTTCTTCACGAGATAATACATTCTGCGTCAGGCCTTGGATCAAGGCTTTTGTTCTGTGTATGCTCACCTGGACCAGACTCAGGACCTGTTGGTTGTACGTAACTTTGAATCTGTCTTAGTGTCTTTATTCTCTTAGTGGGTTGCACAGAAATAGTAGATTGATATTAACTCGCTGGGATTCCGATAATATTTCAATGGGATTACATATATAAAAGTTCTTGAGTCATGCGGAGGACAAGAAAAGGAATTATAATATTTGGTTCACAATACCATACCCTGGATAAGTTGTGGGAAAACTGGAATTCTACAGGCCCAGGCTTGGCTCTGTGGTTGTAAGGCAGGGAAATCTTCTTTCTCAAAGGAAAGCGTTGACCAGCCTTTAAAGCCTTCTGACTGATTAATCTAGGGCTACTAGGACAATTTCTAATTTAAAGTCAACTAATTAGGGCTTTAATTATATTTAAAACCCTTTTACAGCAGCACCCAGATTTGTGTCTCCTTAAATACGGGGTGGTGGGGTGGCATAGCCCACATCAAAAAAGCCAACAGAGTCCTCATCTTGTGTGCTGGGCAGCCATCCACATCTCTTTAAGTCATGCTTACTCTGCAAATGAAATTAATAACTAACGTCTGTTCCCACCTACTGTGACACAACTCTCAGGAATGCAGCTGAGAGTGCTTACGAAATGTCTCTTTAGTCACTGTGTCATTTTTACAATCTGTCATTTTCTCTTAGTACCATATCCATAAGTTATTAACCTTCTTTTTCTCCAGGTTTGCACTTCAAGGTTCCCTTGGTTGGTTTATTTCCACTATTTTTGTTATGCAAAATCAATTTAATAAGGCAGAAGCTGGCTTGTGGACCCCTCCCTCCCTTGAAGCATTTTCCTCCTGGGTGTGAACATTAACATTTTCCCTGTAGTGTTTTGCTGAACAGTCTTTGCAGGCTTGTGAGGGAGGTGTGGTCTCCATTCTTTTGAATGAGAAACTGTACTTCGAGTGTAACTAAATTGGCCTCAATTTAGAGCTTGTACGGGTTAAAGGCAGGATTTGAACTCAGTGAAATTTTATTCCAAGGAGGATGATCTTATTGAAGGCTGCAGCTAGCTTTTTTTTCAAGAGCGATCTCTAGGGCATCTATGTCAGAATTACTTGCCGTAAATGAAGATTCCCAGGGCCACATTTCAGACTTGGTAGATCGGAGTGGAAGACAGGCTCAAAAATCATCATTTTAAACAAGTTTCCCAGCTGATTTTTTTATGGTTAGAACAACTCTGAAGCAGGGAATAAAATATTTTTAAAAATGGACCATCTTGGTTGCTGCTAAGTTTCCATCATCCGTGTTGTTGAAATGTTGGAAACGACCTCCTGATGAGTTGAGGCTGAAGTTACACTAATCAGGGATGCTTGTACTTCCTGGGACAATTTTCCCATTTTCCTTACAGGTCCAAGGAATGAGTCTGTGCCAGTGTCACACATCACATGCTCAGGGGACCAACCTTATCACATGTATTGATTACTCAGACATGACCATGAAAGGTTGTTATTACCCTCCTCTGTGCAAGACACTGGATAAACCAATGGTTCAAGTTCTAGTAACAAATATGCACACTGGCGACTTTCAGGACCTTTTCATTATCTCAGTTTTGCATGGAAAGTCAAGGATGGGGGAGGAAAGGAGGCCAGGGGACTCTGCGAGGCATAGATGAAGAAAGAAGGCAAGAGAGATGCCTGTTTTCATTCCCAAGCCAGATCAATCATTATTCCAAAACGATCTCTAATCAAAACCCAGCATATGGTTTTTATTAATTTGGGGCAATTCCCCTGCCACCTACTGCAATAAAAAGGATATCATAAAAGATTGATATAATAAAAGATTGTAGCATCCCTTATCAAGCTAGCAAACAAGAGGTATAAAATCCAAGGTAATGAAATAAGTTGATGGCGACACCCTATCTTCTCTGACTTTTATTATTATTATTTTTTATTTTACTGCTGGGAGTTCTGGGGGAAAGAGGTTGAGAGCTGTGTTAGGAATAGACTCAATCAAGTTCCTTTCCAACATGAAGTGGAGACTCAGGGCCCAACCCTCTCACCAGTCTCAGTGGGGAGAATGCAGAGGACTAGCCTCCAGCTCTGATTGGCAGGGATAATTTACCCAAATTTAGTTATCATTTTCCAAAAATAGAAAACCCCTGAGCTCATGGGTTTTTTCTCTTTTGTCTTTTCTGGGCTGGGGATTGAATCCAGGGTCCCCCGCCCCTGCCCCTGGTGAGTAAGAATGAGCTTTCTTTCCAGGCCTTTTTATTCCAAGGGTCTCACTCACTAGCTCAGGCTGACCTTGACCTGTGGTCCTCCTGCCTCTACCTCTAGAGCAGCTAAGGTCCCAGCCTGCACCGCCACGCCCGGTGAGCTCTGTCTTGTGGTCAGCTGGTTTGACCTGCTCTTCTTGCTAAAGTGGCACAGTTCACATCACTAACCCTTGGGGTTAGTGCTAACCCAGAACTAACCCTTGGGGTGAGGGGGGATCGTGTCCGTCTGTGGTCTGTGGATGCCCCTGCCCCGCCCTCTGCAGCCTTCAGTTGCTCTTCAGGGGAGCCAGCTTCCTGGCTTGTTGGCTTGGCCACTGCTAACTCCCGAGATGCTGGTAATGTAGGAGAAGCTCACACCCCACCTCTGGAACGCTGGGTCCAGATGGCTCCATGACCCATTCAACGCCACACAGGTGGAGGCAGATCCCAGCCAAGGCCCCTCTGCCGGTGAGGTGCATCTTCCAGAGCTCTCTCCAGAGCTAACCCTTGGGGTGAGGGAGGCCCTGGGGTCACTGCGGAGTCTCCGTCTCTCCACACTGGTGAGAGTTGCAGCTGGAGTTGGAGACCAAGAGGGCCTTTGTCTCCCACCTCCTTCCTTTGGTTACAACCACATGTTGTGGATGGGGATTTTGGAGTAACAGTATCAAACACCTCACCTCACTCTGCAGTGTTCAGAAGGCATTCCCACAGACGGAGAAATCACCCAGCAGAAATGAGTGTGCTGCATTTTGTGGATGAGGGGAATGTCTCAGTCAGCTCTGGCTGCTGTAAGGATATACCATAGGCTGTTTGGCTTAAGCAGCTGGTGTGTCCTGTCTTTCATACAGTTCTGGAAGCCAGGAAGTCCGAGTTCAAGGTAAAGCTGAATAGGATCCTAGTGAGGGCCTCTTCCTGACTGCAGATGAGAGATAAAGAGAGGTTCTAGTCCAGGCCACATGAGGCCCATCTGTACTTACAGCTCCTCCCTGCATCACCCTCATGACTGCTTGAGCTCAGCTGCTGCCAGATTGTGAGGGCCACGGCCCCTCACCCAGAGCAGTGGGACCCTGCTACGCACACACGAGAGGCAGAGGTTGTGTGCTGCTTGGGATCCCCCCAAACTACCTTCACCACCCTGATGGACACACTGTCTTCACAAAACCAGTCCTCAGTGCCAAAAAAGGTTGTGGTGCTACTCTTCTAGTTTGTCCTTTTTGTCTAGTCCCATAAAATTTCCCCGGGGACCATCGCCTGGGCTTAGGGGTTCAGTACGTAAATTGGGGCTGTGATGCAGGCTGTTACATCTGGAAGATGGGTCTGGCTGCTCTGTCCTGATCTCATGCACAGCAAGGAGGCAGGAAGGGGCCGACTGCAGGGGAACAGTCCCTGGAGACCAAGTGGGCGGGAACAGGGACTCGTCAGCACCTTGGTGCCCCCCAACTGCCTTGAACCCAAAGAGAGGTCTTATAGGTTTCTGTCCCCGGGCTCCCAGTAGGTAATTCAAGGGATTCTTGGCTGAACTAATCGGCATTTCAGGGTTTTGTAACTGAGCACATAAAATACCATTTTCTGTCATCCTTAAGTAATTTTTCCAAACCTGACACTTAGAACAGAAAAATATCCTTGCAACCTCAGCATCCTGTTTCTGGAAGCTGAGAAACATCTCAGGATGGAAGGGTGCTCCTTAGATGAAAATGCAAGGGAATCGTTTAGAAAGACTTTGGCAGACTGGAGATGTCTTACTAATAGGGCTAGGAATTTGGAGGAGACTGTCATCAATTGTAATGTAAG